AAAATGCTTTGATAAAACTTACTATTTAGCATCAATAAATCCCGTTTTCGACGGGCTTTCATCTGGTATAAAATTCATTACTTACCCTATTCGCAATTGTAGCGTTACCCCCCTGGAAAAACATTTTTACGCACCCTGTATATTGCTATGAGAAGGTGTGAGACGAATTAAGAATTTTAATCAAACAGCAAATAGAAATAACTATTTTCCTTAGAGCGCTCAATTTACTACGATTCTCAATAAATTAAGAAGAAAATGAATTAAAAAAAGCAAATGCACAGATAAAATACATCACTAAAATTATCTGAACTCTAATCTGAAACAAAGCACTGCACATCTCTCTGTCTATAGCTGTTGTTTTTTTTGATTTTAAAAGCTTGTTCGGTCAAAATCGACTCCAGATTCGTCTTCTCTATGATTGATTGTCTGGTACGTGATAACTGTGGAATCAGGATACTTCAGAAAAAGAATCGGGGCACTTTAGAAAGGTACTTCACTTTTATAGTTAGGCCCATAAAGTAACTTTTTGAAAAATGACTGAGCAACACCATGAAAAAACTTATTTCTAGAGTACCCCGATCCAAAAGTTATCACATTTCAGATAATCGGCTATGGAGAAGACGATCTGCAAAACTTTTAAAATTTTTCAGTTAGGTGATACGACTCTTCTACGAACAAGGCTTTTATTGTCCTTTTGAGATAGGGTTTAATTCTTAAATTTTATGTTTTATCTGCTGCATATTCATATCGAAAGATTAGTGAAGACTGATGTGATATAGACTCCTTTGTCTATACTTTTGTTGTATTGATTTGGGGGATATTTATTAATCGATTGAAAAGTATGTGGTGGCATGGTCGTTTTAACCGTGTTTTTGTCCAGTGTAATAACATTTACTGGTTTTTATCAAGTACTGTCACTGGTTCGGTGCTGTATCGTGCAATTATCTTTACTATGAGACTACGTTTTGAACTTGCTCTCACACCTCTTGTTCACTCAGCCACCTAACACATACACAAGGAGCTGTGTATCTGCGTGGAAAAAATTCTGTGAATGATCGAGAATTTTATTTCGCTTGAAAATTACTAAAGAACACATACCTTTGTGTTTACTAACACGGAAGATGCATACCCAGGTCAAAGAATCCTATAATAGGATCATATGGGATCTTGTAAGATCCTATCAGACCCTAAAATAAGATCTTATCTGATACGATATAATTCTATGAAATCATATCGATCTTATAGGAAACACGTCTACCATCTTAAAGTAAGAAATGACGTAGGATTCCTATTATAGGATCCTGTGAGGCCCTACAGTAGGAACTTATAAGATCTTGTATAATGTTATTATAGGATCTTACATGATCAGCTAAGATATGATATGGTTTATTCTACTAAGTTTATTATTTTTATTTGTTTAATTATTCTCTGATCCCAGCTAACCAGAATCAGGCGATTCTGAGCTGGGATAAGGCCAAGACTTGTGTGCACTCACTCGCACGTCGTCGAACAGTATAGTGAGTTTCGATGGCTCACCGATTTCGGAAAATCGGTGAGCTCTAAAAGAATTTTTAATTTTCTACAGTACAGTTGTGTTTATATTCGAATTACTACAAAACACGACGGTGATTGTGTTGTCGTATAGAAAAAAGAAAACCTATACAGAACGAAAAAATAGGAATCCTGCAAAATCTTACCATAGGCTTTTGTAAGGAAAGGCATACGATTCCTGTTTATAGGAATCCTATAGGATTTTTACTACCGTCTATATCAAGAATCCCATGGAATTCCTGCTGTAGGATTATACGATCCTACAATAGGAATCCTATGAAATCCTATTATCAGTAGGATCTCATAGAATCTTGTAACCTTGTCGGATTGCTTGACCTTGGTAAATTCAAAGTATTAGATCAAGTTCATGCATCCATTCAACAAAACCAATAAGTGCTAATTGACGTTATAAAACGCTTACATGAGCATTTTTATAATAAAACTAAGTTGTAACAAAATTATAAATCTTCTGTATGTTTTAACCTCATAGTAAGATTGTTGTGAATAGATACATGAACTCCATTGTGTAGATTGAAGATTTCCATCGTCCGTGTTAGTATAGTGGTGAGTATCCCCGCCTGTCACGCGGGAAACCGGGGTTCGATTCCCCGACACGGAGTAGTTTTTTTATTTTCAATTCAATATTTATTTATTCGTGGCAATGAAAAGTTGCAATATGTGTGTAGTGGTTAAAATTCCAATTTTTTGATAATGAATATTTGTTTTTCGATTTTTCAGCCTCAACTTTCACGAACGTGCACAAGAGATTTTAAGTGATGACAGGAACTTGATTAACTCTCGTTTTGCGACTGTATCTCGTTTATGGATGAAACAGCTCTATACAGTTTTATATGGAAGCAAAAGCAGCTTCATGGATGACGGTCACGATCGAATGGCCAACCCTTAGGTAAATCAACAACAGAGACTTTGAATTTGTTGAACGACAGCTTGTCTTATCAATTACGTGTGCAAGGAATGCATCCTCTTTTTCTCTTGGAAGTTTCAATCATAGATGCTAGCTCAGAGCATACCCTAGTGAGTTTCCTGGCAGGATCCGAGACATATCCTACCAGTATCCTACTAGGATTTCGCTTTAATTTCTGAGGGTTCTAACAAAATCCTACAGAATCCTAATGAAATCAGGTATACCCGAAAGGCATAGGATTTTCTAAGACTTTATCGGAATTCTAAACAAACTTAAGCGACACTAAAATGCATTTTAGTGTCGAGCATTTTAGTGTCGAACTTAAGCGGAGTATGCTAAAATATCTAACACGACGTCATATAATTACATAAAAGCCTGAAAAATCCTCAGCGATATTCCAAATAATTGGAAATTCTTCACGGATTTTCCAGATAACTGGAAATTAATTTCATTTTTCGAATTTCCAAAAGTCCATATATAAAATCGCGGAGGAATTTCCAGATTGAAAATCGCTGAGCATTTTCCATAATTCTAGAAAATCGAACTGGAAATTCGACTTCGAATTTCAAGAATCTTGGGAATTATTTACAGAAATTCGACTTCGAATTTCCTGAATTCTGGAAAATCGAGATCGAATTTTCAAGTTTCTTATAAATTCGATTTTCTAGAATCTAGAAAATCCTCAGGGAATTTATATATGGACTTTTTGAAAATCGCCGAGCATTTTCTATAAATAATTCCCGACATTACAGTGTATAAAATCCCTAAGGATTTTCAAATTTATAGAAAATCTTAACCGATTTCCAGCTTTATAGAAAATGTAGATTTTCAAGCGTCTTGAAAATCAAGGAAGGTTTTCTGGATTCTTCGGAATTCGATTTCCTCTAAAACAGAAAATCCTCGGTGATTTCATATATGGACTTTCTGAAAAGCAACGGTGATTTTCTAGAAATAATTTTCAAAATCACCGTGTGTAGTAGTCGTATAAATTTTACATCTGGATTGTGTTGATATCATAGATATTAAAAAGCACGCTTGTTTCAAATTGTCTAATGGTGACTTTATTGTCAAACCGGGTATAGTTTCAGGTGTGGGAGATTTAATTCAAACGTTAAAAATAATAGAACAAAAATTTTTGAAGCGGTCACAAATGATTCCGAAACAAAAGCAAGAGCAACAAATACTTCCTCTCACTCCAGTTGCCTCAAATGTCTCAGTCGATAATAGACAAACAACAACCAAATGTATTAGGTCAGCTTCGACTGCTACACACGTTCTTCCACCATCTTTAGTACAACAAAAAGTTTTGAAAGCGGATAAACACAAATCTTTTGTCAAAGATCTATTAGAAGCTTATGTTAAGAAAAACTTAGATAATATTCTGTTGATCGAAGATATTGATTTTGAAATGATTTTCAAACAAGATTATAATGATTCTGCCGTTTCTTATCTTATAAAACGGACCTGTGGTAAACACATTAATCTTCCAAGACGTTCTATCCTCGACATATTTCAGTTGTCACTATATTATCGACACATACGAGAAACAGAGTGTGCAATGATCTCTCCAAAAAGGTGAAAGCTAGAAATGAACTTCGAAAACAACGGCAATGATCTAAATCATTGTCATCGGCCATAACAACACCAGTACCTAAAGTACAATTTCTAACTTTAAAATGTCAAGTATTGTTTGACAAGAAGTACAAGCAGTGTTTAATCAAAGAGATATGTATATTCATCTATTCGACGCTGCTTTTTAAGATCGTCTAGAAGGTGTATTGGTCTGTACGACACTGGACCACGCTATTTGCATATTCAGAATTAGGAAGCTGTCGCGCTAGTTTAATCAAATAGAGCATATCTAAAAACAGTGTGCTATGTTAAGGCAATGGTCAAAAAATCATCGCTACATTCAGATGTTCTTCCAACAAAGAGCTGATAACAAAGAGCTCAGGAGACAGTACGATCTTATTTTAAATTTTCTCTAATCCACCCTCATCTGTACATCATTTTTAACCAAATATAATATAACACTCATCTCATTAGACAAGCATCCTACATTTTGTACCAAAGTGTCAAACGATATGTGTTTATCTGCCAAAAAGCACAAAATGACAGAGCGATTATCCAGTGAAAATCAGATATTCGACCGTTTGATATGGATTGATCAGATTAATAGGGGCACTATTTCAAGTTGTACCCGTCATGCCCGCAATACTGTGACTATGGTTGACAGAAGAGTGGATTGTCATACGTACATAATCCTGCGAAATCGTGTGAGAATGAACAGTCACATCACTTCCTATACCTGGGCTTCCATGAAAACCCCAGGTACCAGCTCCAAAAGCCGCTCCTCCGGTGCGACCGCCATGGTTGTGTCCTAGATCCGTATAGCTGTGACTGTGTGACCCTCCTTCCATAATTGTTAAAGTTCCTGTGTCATGTGAGTGTGGTGGTAGCTCATTAACGGCCATCGTGTGGTACTGTCGACCACCTTTCATCCCTAAAGAATTACCCTTTGACAGTCCTGTTCGCTCGTTTCCCATTGGGAATCGCCCTTGGAAATCTGGTATGTTGAAGGTATTCACATTATCTCCCTCACCATACATAGTACCAATAACTGAAAATAGGAGCGAATATTCCAGTCTTGACACCTCTCTACCGTTGCATCTTAACCACTTTGAACTCGGTAAATCTTGTCCAGTGTACAGAATAATAGTACCAATTGGATTCCCATTTGTGGAAGATAGATCGCTATGAATTGACACTCCCGTTTGAGAGTCAATTGTTCGTACAATAGCTTCTCCATTCAGTTGTTTTGTGAATTTCTCACTGCTATTCTTCAGGTGCATATCAAAAGTTTCAGCTTCAAATCCAGTACCATCGGTTCGAACAGCATTGTATCCCGCTATCTTGTACGATATTTCAATTTCATACTCACCATTCAGGATTTTTTTTACTATGTCAGATGCTAGCTGGTACCCCGAACAGAGAAAACGACATTGCAGCTGTCGACTATTCGGATTTGCTTTACGGCACACACTAGTATCAGGCACCGGATCGCCAATTTCGTTGATAATAGTTGCCGTTAAAGAATGAACTATCAACGGAACAATGTCCCAGTTATTAGTGTGTGAAATGTGTAAGTTGTTATATTTTCTGGAGATAGCTGCCCTGGCTAATAAATCAGCATCGCTGTTACCTATGACGAAGTTCAGCAAAACCGCATTATTACTCTCCCATATCCATTGATCGTTGATATGGACTGGTAATGTTAAAGGAACATAGAAGAAGAGCCATTTGCTTGGCTCTTCTTTGTGTTCAATTTCGTTTGACAGTGACGAATAGACGTATACGATTGTATTTTTATATTCAAATGTGGTTAGTATGTTTGTGTTAAAAATAGAATTAGTTGAGCCAGTGGCTACACTATTTAGATGTAAAATAAAAAGGCCAAGAATAGTCAAAGAATTCATATTTTTAGTTGTAAATGGCAGCATATAATTAATCGCGTTTTGAAGGTACCTCTAACAGTTTCTTCTAGTTTATATGCCAGAACTCGTAATTTCAAAAGGTCATCAAATCATTTTGTGTCATGAGAAAAAACCGATAACGCTATCGCTTTATATTACAAAGTAAATACTTGTCATTCTATTTTCTTCCTTAATCTTATCATTTAGCATCTTATGAAGTTTCAAAAATACTTCAATCGAGAAAACGAAAGCATACAAAAATTATTCTTTTCAGAGACAATTATCACATAATACGTTTCATTGACATACAGAAAATCTTCCATAAATTGTTCCTAATCGTTTCGTATGGATGAGTAGAATAAATCATAAGTAATATTAAAATAAATATTAAATTGCAAAGAAAATGGCACATCACGAGCATAATCAGAATAAAAGTGCATTTTCTGATCCTACTAGGATTTCCTACTAGGATCCTACTAGGATTTTGCTTAAGTTTGTTTAGAATTCCGACAAAGTCTTAGGAAATCCTATGCCTTTCGGGTATACCTGATTTCATTAGGATTCTGTAGGATTTTGTTAGAACCCTCAGAAATTAAAGCGAAATCCTAGTAGGATACTGATAGGATATGTCTCGAACCCTGTTAGGAAACTCACAAGACTTATACTAGGATATGCTCTGCTGGGTGCTTCCACACAGGTCCGCTCACTTTATACAGAGCATCTTGCCGCGAAAATTTCACTTTGCCCATCGTGTACAGCATCAAAAATAGCCTAAAGGTCTCGCTTACGCTTTCTTGAAGAAACGTGTGGAAAGTGGTTTTCTAGACACCTCAAGTTTTGGTGAGGGTGAAACCGAAGTCGGTAAAAATGAACAAAACATTGGGTAATTATACATCAAATTGTAGCTCTTGACGAGTGGATTCCAATGGTAAAGGAATTTTGTCTCAATCTAACTTTACATTCGAGTGATACTCCATTTACTTGAAAACTTCCTGAAGTTTGACCTCGGTTTTCTCCTAAACGCTCCGAAAACTTTTCGAGATTTTTTCAGCATGGAAACTACTTAGCAGGATCTATAACTTTGCCCATACAACTATCTTCGACACGTTCCATTTTTCACCTCAGTTTTCCAGAAAAACCATCAAAACCTTATTTCATGAAAAGAAAACTTAGCTATTATGACTCTATATTCCTGTTCAACATGAAGAATTCAGTGTCCTTCAACGTTTTCTGAGGCTTCTTTGTGTTTCCGTATCGCAGTTTTCTAAGAGGTTTTCTGGAGAAATGTTTAGTTGCATTTTGTTGGCTAAACTGAAAGATGCTGTTACATCAATTATACTGCTGAACACAACTGAAGACTAATCGCAGAACAATTAATTACTGTATGTGATGCGATATGACAACTAGCGACACTAGCAACACCTCGAAATGTGACGATCTTTCTTGGATATTGTAACTTTTCATTGCCACGAATAAATAAGTATTGAATTGAAAAATAAAAAAACTACTCCGTGTCGGGGAATCGAACCCCGGTTTCCCGCGTGACAGGCGGGGATACTCACCACTATACTAACACGGACGATGGAAATCTTCAATCTACACAATAAAGTTCATGCATCATCCATCCATTCGAACTTATTAAGTGAACTGAAATATAACCTCAAGTGCGATCGATATAATGATCTCGCCTTTTGCGCTTTTTAAACGTTTTAATGCATACATCTTTTTTGCACAACACAATTTGTTCTCCCATTTTTCACTACCAGGAACCAAGAATCCTGAAAAATAATCTTATAAGAAGACTTCGTCTGCATCATTCTTCTATAGATTTTGGAAGATTTTTCTTCCAATATGATCTTCTAAGATGAATTTCATCTGAGACTTTTTGGTTAGGATAGATACGCTGGGCTCAGAGGCTAGCCACGAGCTTGCGTCTAAATTATCCTTCGATTTCTGATTGATCTTTTTTTGCATTCCATGTTACCTTATGCTGCTTTTCTCTAATAGCAAGTCATAGAACGGAAAAAAATGGCGGACAGAATTTTATGGATTTGCACCCAGCAACTGTTGTAGCTAGCGTATCTTGACTAGATTTTCTCAAAACAAAACAAGTTCACAGACACCATGCTAATGATGACTATATTGAGAAAGTAAACCACAGTTTTCTTCGGCGGTGGACAACCAGTTATATTAGCAACATCGCGACACATAAATGTGACATTTGTTGGATACTGTAACTTTTCATTGTCAAGAAAAAATAAATAACGCAACATCTCGAAATGTGACGATCTTTCTTGGATATTGTAACTTTTCACTACTACAAATAAATAAATATTGAATTGAAAAATAAAAAACTACTCCGTGTCGGGGAATCGAACCCCGGTTTCCCGCGTGACAGGCGGGGATACTCACCACTATACTAACACGGACGATGGAAATCTTCAATCTACACAATGGAGTTCATGTATCTATTCACAACAATCTTACTATGAGGTTAAAACATACAGGAGATTTATAATTTCGTCACAACTTAGTTTTATTAAAAATGCTCATGTAAGCGTTTTATAACGTCTGTTAATACTTATCGGTTTTGTTGAATGGATGCATGACCTTGATCTAACACTTTGAATTTACCCAGGTTAAGCAATCCGACAAGGTTACAAGATTCTATGAAATCTTTGACAGGAGCTATTCTTCTCCCTTGTCTTCATTGTGTATATAGTTCTCTTTTTCTTTGCATTGGAGAGGTCAGTCAAATAAACTTTGAAAGAACATAGTTAGAGAAGGACAAGGTTAAAAATTGGTGCGCTAGCCGGCTCACTGTCAATTCAACATCACAGTAAGTTTAATAGAATCCAAACAAATCAAAATGGGACAACGTTATTATCAACAACAAATAAAACAATGGTGAAATCCACGACCACCTTACACAGGCTGCTAGTTTGGCTTTGGAACCCATACCACACTAAACAATAGTAACATTATGCAACAAAACAAAAACCGCATTCAAATCTTTGACAACGCAATCTTCACTTATTTACCGTTGTTTGTGGTAAATAATTTCACGTTTTCCATGTGATTAAACTCGCCTCCTTCCCTAGCTCCTCCATTACTTTTAGGACCAGTTCGAATCATCAAGCAATTATTCTTAAGCTCGCATACATATAACTTTAGTTTTTAGTTGCTATCGAAATGTTATATATTCTCAATTTACAATGAGTTGGTCTTCTTGATTATCATGTAGACCAACAATTAAAATATCTATATCCTATGCTTTACCTTGCAGATTCAAGATTAAACGATAATTGGCTTTAGTTATATGCTGGCCTTTTCTGCCGCACCCCGTCTTTCTTCCGTAAATGTTCTGCAAGATCCGTCAAAGTTTTTACATCCAGATGTATTTGTTTTATCTGTTTCATTATCCACTTTCGATATTTTCGAGCACAATATATATATGAAGTTGTGCATTTCCCTCAGGAAAAAACTTTTTTATCTTACATCCGATTTCGATGGCGCTTCCAGTGACTAATGCTTACTGTCCTACGAGCTTATGCTAAGAATTTGAAATCGAAACGTTGAAGCGCTGTAGAGTTATTGCGTGACATGGGGCAAAATGAGACTCTTAGCAAAAGCGCCATAACTTTTTGTTGAAAGGTGCAGAAAGCTGCGAGAGGCCTCAAATGAAAGTAGACACCAAAATCTAAAATTTGATCCGCGGCGATTTTTGAATTTCGCTTTTGTTCATTCCCTACATGTATTTTAAGTCAGCCCTCTGAAAATAACCCTAATTCGGCGGAGTATTTACCACTTATCTCTGCACAGAAAACAAAAATCGCCGGGGGTCAAAGTTTTGATAAATGTCTTAGCTTCAAAATAAAAAAAGAATGAAAGTTTTACGATGAATCGTCTAGGAGTTATTACAATTTTACTGCGCCAAAACCGTATTCTAAGCAATGCCGCCATCACTTCATTAATTATAGTTCAGCGCCTTTAGCAAAACTAGTATAACTCTGCAAGACAAAGGCGTACAAACCTGCTGGATATCTCATTCTGATCAGAATACTCTGCTCAACATAGCTCCATATCTGTTAAAATGGACAACCTTAAAAATTTTAATTAAAATGTGAAATTTAGAAAAAGGTGATTTTTAGGGCTTTCAAAATCCTCCGAAAACATTGAATTTTTTGGCAAACTGAGATGGATTCTGAAATATGACACTTTGGGATACTGAACCGTATGATTACTTCAGTTTCGAAGAAAACATCGAATTCCTGAGGGGAGTGCCCCTTAACGAAGATTTTCGTATGATATAAAAAAGGTTGGTGTTCAAAACAAAATACTGAACAAGAGACAGTTTGACTAAAAACTCGATTGGACGTTTGCAATGCAAAAACGACGTTTTTCGATAAGATCTTACAGAGCAGCTGTGTTCGATTCCAAATAATATCGCTTTGTAGAGGGCTCTTCATATAAAATTTACAGTTTCTGGCTACTTCTCTCTCCGAATAAAATTTATTTCTTCGACTCTGATTGTCAGTAAGGAAAAATCGACGACAGAATGTCAGATAAGTGTTTGGTGCTTTATACGCAAGCGAAGATTTGCGTCTCACTCTTTCAGTGCCTCACTAAAAAAGGATACTTGTAACAATGCTGCCTGTGGAAGTCAAAAAAGTGGAGAGACTTTTAATGAAACGCGAAAAACATTTTTTTCACATAAATATGCATTTTCAAATCAGAAGATTAAGAAAGGGTGGTGATTCACTTTATGTGAATAAATGCATTCAGTTTATAGATGTGCTAATAGAAAATAAAGTTTGTGTATTAATTTTGTATCATACTTTCATCGCGTGCTGTTCTAGTTTGTCTGAATGAAGTACTCCATGTCATTTATAAAGAATCAGTATATTGGACATGTCATTGCCCGTTAACGATCTGAAAACGACCGGTCGACGGTGATATAAGTGAAAATTGACACCTTGAGTTATTAGCGGGCCTCTTTGGTTATAAGTTAGTCACCTTTTCTTCTGGTGCATGTATATCTTGAGTATGACACTCTTCGGGAAAACTTACAAAATTTTTTCCTTCTTATATACAAGTCATAAAAACTTATGAAATTTGTTGGTAGAGCAGTTGGAAATAAGTATTTGTAAATCGAATATAGAACTGCTATGAATTCATAGCAGTTCTATATTCGATTCATAAAAACTTGTTTATAAGAAGTGGCTCTTATTCTTGAAAGTAGTACAGAGGGCGGTACTTGAGTCTAGAATCAGTACTACCTTGAAACAAGCGAAATAATTCACTAAAGTATATAAATAACAGTTCGTTAAAGTGGAAATGCTTATTTACAACACAGAGTGAATTTCAATAAACAAAGTCTTTTAGATTACTTGGATGTTGTCGTATAACGGTACTTCGATGTACCTTAAAACATTGTTCACATGACTAATGCCTACTAAACTTAACAAATGTGTCCAACAAACAACATCAACTCGATTATCAATTATATATTTTGTAATGAATGACGGACATGATTAAATATTTTCTATTTAATTGAATGTAAACTATTTGAAATAAAAAGAAGCAATGACAGGCTACAGGATGGAAAATGAACGTCTACATAGCAAAACAGAATAAACAATATTAAAATGTTTTCAGTTGAGTTCTTGTTTATTGAGTAAAATGTTGTTGATTTGTTCCGGTAGTAGAATCCGTTGTTGATGATGTCGTTGTTTCGACATGTGTAGATTTCTCTGTTTCAATCACCGTTCCGGATACAGCAGCTAAATTGTTTGCTGCTTGCTGATGCACATCAACGGCAGTTGTAGGTGCATGTATATTACTTGTTGCATTTGTGTTTGTTGTGATCACAGTGGTTGTAGTCGATTGAAGACGTCGTTGAGCATCTTCGGCTCCCAGTAGAGCGACTTGATCTGTTATTTGATTAATTTGCATATTAGCATGCTCCTGAGCGTCCTTAAGTATATTCTAAAACACAATATATAATATGATTGAGTTTTCCGTTAGCTTTATAATAGAGTAACACAGAATTATAGTGGATTTTTATCCTAAACTTTTCATATTGTATTAACTGCGTTCAGTCCCGAATACCGTTATAAGAAGTGATTAGGCTCTAAGAATTCATCTGTAAATCTTAAAATAGTGCGTTTTGATAGAGTTAAGGACTAGAAAATAACAAGACTGTCTCCATTACTAACCATTTTCGCTTGATTAGCCGCATCATTCAATTGATCAATTTGTTTTTTCGCCAATTCCAACATTAATTCTTGTCGTACATTTAAATCTCTCTCTAGTTGAGCTAATTTAGATGCTTTTTTTGCATCTAATTCTTCTACATATTTTTGTAATGCACATTTATATTCTTCTTCAATTTGAATACTCTGAACATGAGCATCAGATAAGAGCAGCTGTTGATTGACTTGCGTTTCTGTGACAATTCTTTGAATATTAGCAGCAACATCAGCACTGATTTCTTCCGTGCGTCTCTTGGCATATTCATCAACTTGACTATGTGTCGTACCTAACAGAAGAACAAAAGAATGTGTACAAAGAAAATGCTAAATCAATTGATGAAAAAATTGTGTTGATGTCCCATTAAATCTCTCTGAGTACACAAATCATTTTTAAATTTGACCAATGTTGCATGCGATCCATGGTATCTACAGAGTGATCCTGTATTACAGGAGATCTATCTGATAGGCTATCTAAAATTTGCACTATCTTTTACCTAATTTTCTCATTAATTCATCAATTTTTGCTTGACTTTGCAGGTTGACAGTTGTTGTTGTTGATGTATTTACAACGGATTTCACTCGAACATCGTCACTAACCGCTGTATGAACTGCGGCTCCACTATGATCCGATGATGTTACTTCAACTACATTTGGAGTCGCTGGATTTTCTGTATCTGGATAAGTACCAAATAAAGCGTTGATTATTGCTGACATATTATATTAACTAAAAAAATAGTATTATTGACTTTATGGCTAAAAATACTTCTTTCAATAAAACTACTTAGTACACGTGTGCACATGTGCTAGTATTTCTTACTACATTCTGCCTGTATTCTAAGCCTTCGCGATAACTTCCTTACAGTTCAATAACTATTGTGAATGAGTCCAACATATAACTCTATATCCTATTTTTCTTACACACAGATATTCATTATTTCAGTTTTATGCTGAAGCAAAGGGTCGTATGACTTTGTACCTGCTCAACCATACATTGAAAAATCTATTTTCTATTATAATCATTCCATCATACTATTTCTTTTAGATAAGAATTCTCAAACCACTGTAATTTCTAAATCATTTTGTTTTTATTTATAAAAAAAACCTGTTCTACTCTACTGAAGAAGATTGACAGTACCACTAACCATTAGAAATGTATCAGAAATTTTTAGCTTTCTACTTACATCTTCTTATAATAGTTTCTGTTTCGATTTCGTGCGTTTGCCCAGTAAACAATACTTGTTTTTATACACTTTCTTCTATTCCAATGGAATGATCTACATCTACACCATAGACAAACTTTTACTCATTCTTCTTTTGTTTTTTCTTTTTCTTGGTAATTTAATAAACAATGCGTCATCATTCTTCTCATTTAAACTATCCACAACATAATACTATAGAAGCAGAAGATTCTTCTCTTCTTCCGTCATATTTCTCGTATAGTCTGTTCCATTCAGTTCTTGAATTTTTCACGTATAGGCGCACATTCTAGGATATAGATATGTGAGTAAATTCGATAAAATTAATCGTTACAGACATATATATTTAGACGAGATATGGGAAAACACAAATAATCCAAAAGTGCATTCACCTTATAGAAGCATACACAAAAAAATCCATTGTGGAAAAAAAAACATGAGACTGATGAGATAGCATATGATGTTATCTATGTGCCTATCTTTTACTAATATAACCCAAATGCGTAATTGTAAAGTTTCTTTTCAGCTATTTATTTTATTTCTTTGGGGATATTTATCTCTGCTTTTTAATAGTGTGCTCTATCCTATAAGTTCTCTGTGAACTTTTTCGTGTTAGAGTTAGGGTTTAATGGTAAAAATAAATGTTATCGAAAAAGTGGTGTAATACATGCGAAATAAGAACAGACGAGAAAAAAGCATAATAATAAATAGAACAGATACATTTCATCATCAATAAAGGAACTGGAGTAAAACATGAAATGGAAGAAATGTCAGTAGTATATACATATTTGCAAATAAAAACAATTGTGTTGTTCTGGAATGAGAAAGAACAACCACAATTACATGAATTAAACGTACCAAACATGGAAAGACTACTCTTGTACAATGATGAATTAACAGAGAAATATTCCTCAAGAAATCAACTAAATGATATATATGCTCGTGTTTGATTAGGTTGATAAACTCGTAAGTAGAAAGACTATATCAGGTGGTGAGCAAAGTACATTGACTAACTTAAAGTAAGTGATTGAAATTCATCGTCGAACTTTCTAGGAAAACTTTCTAGGATTTGGATAGCATTTTTTTTATGATAAAGATCGTTGGTCGACATATCAATCAAACAATTAGAGATTGCACGTTATCTCACTCTATCATTTTGGTAGCAACGACAGTATCTCCTGGTAATCTGTGAACGATAGATGAACGCATCAGTTTATTAAAGTACAAGTGAAACACAAGTCGTTTTTTAGAGATTTTATACGTGAATTTCGAATGGTGTTATTTAGATATTTCTATTGGTTTCAACGTTCATCAGCACTTTTAACCGCTCATCTAATTTTGAAAATGAGGTGTGTTTTATTTGCACCTATCACATCGAACTATTTACGTCCATTTAAGAAAACAGTCGTTTATATATCACACTCAGTCGGTTTCATAATATTGATAGAAGCGTGAAAGTCTCGATCTACTATTATTATGTCTCGTCGTTAAATCCAGCTGAGGATATCTTCAGTATGTTTTTGAAATTACTTGAGTTATGATGGTCACATCATTATTTGAGTTATCAGATGGAGAAAGAACCATTGCAAATGCTATATAACCATCACTAGCAACAAAAGTCATTGATGCAAGCAATGAATGATGTTTCTGCATGCTAAAAGATATACGCTGAAACTCACTATTTTGACTCTTCTAAATAAAGAGATAACTATTGTTCAGAATTGAAACAGGCGCATCTTTATCCAATGTCTCTCAACTTATTAGTGAATTTTGTTGTATGATTTATGTAAATTAATATGTATTCTATCAATATGCTGAAAACGAAGATTACCTCGGATAAATAGAACAATGATTCTTATGCAGACCGAATAATATGTAAAACAACATGTTTATCACGTAAATGAAACTTGATCGCAGACATACTGTTGCTTAACGCAAGTCTGAGTTCACATAGAAACAACCCAATGGTTGTTCGAAAAGCGATCGATTGCAGATTGAGTGAAAGCATGCATCTTGGTTATGCATTCTAATAAATTATCAAAATCATGCTTATATAGTCCTGTTAGTTTATAATACTCGTTAGAAGTTACAACATTCTGATCATCAAAATCAGTTCTAGTTGGTTCTGTTGTAGCTTCACGGGATATTGTTAATAAATTGAAGATATCAACAACAATCAACAAATTCTTTCTTATGTGAGAGGCTGCAACAGACTTACAGATGGTTAAAAGAAATCGAACCAGACCGATCGGTTGAAAGGTTCGAATAAATCGGCAAAAAAGCGATAAAAACCGACTGATTTAAGCGGAATAATTGAATTGTTCTTAAATGAATTTTGTGGTAAAATAAATCATTTTTCATCAAAACCCTAAAAATTTCTTTGAACTTTTTTAGAGGTTCTAAGACTTACTTAACTTTTAAAAGGAGACTCAGAAATTCGACTCTGTATCGTCAAACCGACAACATTTCTCCACGAAAGAAAACCGCATATTCCACAACTCACCTATGAAAGAAAAACTTATATATCTTCATCATTTCTGGACCAAATTGAACTTTTTCTCTCTGTTCGAAAGAAAAATGTTCCAAGTTTTATTTTTGTAAAAAGAATGTTTTACGTACACCGTTCGAAGCTGTCACTATATCCATCAATACAAAATTTTATTCTTTTTACAATACCATTAAAAATACTATATAAACTGTGTCTTTTTTTATCGCTAGAATTTCCTTCTCAATTCTGTCCTTCAAATCATCAATAAAACTCAATAAAAAGATAATTTTTCAACAGGATGGTACTCCATCACATTTCAAAAGAAGTTCATGCATGGTCAAATGAAAAATTTGATGAATAAGGAATTGATCGAGTTGATCCAATTTCTTGGGCGCCGCGATCGCCAAATTTAACACCATTAAACTTCTTTTCATAGGGATAAATCAAAACAGGTGTAAACAAAACGAAAGTCAAATATATCGATGATTTGAAGGACACAATTGAGAAAGAAATTTTAGCGGTAAAAAACGACACAGTATATATAATGTTTTAATGGTATTGTAACAAGTTTTCATATAATCCACATTTTCCAACAAGGTGGAACAACAGCAAGTACCCTAAAGGCCTTCCGGTATGGGTTTAGAAACATAAAACAAACACTACCAAATGCTTCAAACATTAAGCTCCGATACATCCAAACACGCTCTAAAAAAACGCGACTTGAGATCAAATTAACGGAAGTCGCATTAATGTGTCGTATTTTCACAGAATAAGGCACATCAATGCGACTTAATTTGATCCTACATCGCATTTATTTTTAGGGTGCATGTTCAGAAACTAAACGCGTTTGAACGTGTCTATTAAAGTCTGAAAAGATTTGAAAAGTACACATCCGTTAGCAGAATTGCACTGACGATATTTAGAAATCATCTGTTTTAAAATGCATTTATCTACTTTTCCACTCAGATAGAACAGACACAATTTGTACCTACGAAAAGATGATGTGTCACCAAATCGTGACAAATGAAAACTAACAGATAAAGAATATTATGGAAAAAATTAATTTTTCAATTTTATAGCACAGCTTATTATAACATTTCAAAATTCTATATTCTTTTTTTCAAAGGAAATAGTTTTTTTCGGTTTACTCTCGATTCGCCCCTAATTGCTCTCTCTCAAATCGTCCCAATTTTTTCTCTCTCGATTCGTCCCATTTTTTAAATATTGATTCTACATAAGTTCTCTTATATTTAACTTAACTTTCAGAAATCGAAACAAAAAAATATTATTAACACATTGTCTTTAATCCATATGAATTTTTACGACCCTTCCGCACTTTATGGCTAATTGTGAATTTGTTAACTCCTCTTTTTCATGAGTGTCAGGTCAACTTTTCAATTTTTCATAAATTTCGTTGTAAATTTTTTTACGTTTGCGAGTTTGGACTTCAGATTCTTCTGCGTGATGGTAAAGACGTGTTCTTGACGTAATAGATCAATAAATTCATAAATGTGTAGATGAACAGAAAATACACTTTCTTTCAGCACAGATTTATTTTTTTCGGTTTCTGTGAAACTTAACATTGCAAACTTCATTTACACGACAACTTTTGGTCAAATATAAATTTCTACTGTCTGCTTTAGACACGTTTCCGTACATATTTTTATTTATTTTAAGCTGACCAACACGGACGAAACCCTTGTTGTAGAATACAAAGGGAACTTATGTAGAATAAGTATTTATAAAATGGGACTAATTGAGAGAGAGCAATTAGGGAGGAATCAAGGACTATTTGTAAACTACGCTCCCACCCACTTCCACTCCCGAACTAACTTTTAATTACATGGTTGGATAGAAGATGCCGAGTTGTCTTCACACCCACCCATATTTTTTTCTATCTTAGCTGTTTTTGGAGTCCGGGGGCTAGCCACCGTACTCCAAAAACAGCTAAGATAGAAAAAAATATGGGTGGG